GTTTACATACTTATACACATCAACTCATCAAGTGTCACTTATACTCGTATTACCACTATTGGTATTTGTAGTATCACTTCTGACATTACTGATGTGACTAATAGTATCACTGCTAATACTAGTAGTGCCATCACTAATAGCAGCATCAGCACTAATAGTGTTACAATTAGTACTATTAATGTCACTACTAAAGTCACTAACAGTGCCACTATTAATATTAATAGTGTCACTATCAGTACTAATAGTGTAACTAACAATGTCACTATTAGCACTAATAGTGTTACTACTAGCACTGCAAGCACTACTAGCACTGAAGTTATTAGTAAGACTATTACCACTAATAGTATTTTTTTGTAAAGGTTTTTCGTATAATTGGAGTTGGAACTTCGAGTACACGTACAATATGTGTTTCGGAGGTTGTCGTGGAAATAGGTTGTTGTTCGCGCGATATAAATGGAGTAGAAGTGTGTGTAGGTCCTTGTGATTGTGTATGGCGAGATCGACGAAAAGATTCAGGGTTTACTGTTTCGTGGTAAGTCTTCTCTACCTCAGCTTCGTTGGAAGTAGATCATGTATTCATGCCCTTCCAATTATCGCTTTTATCATCTCGGACGAGCTCCCAAATATTGACGATATGTTACGTCCTGGAGGAGAACGCAATGTGACGAAATGCTTATTATAAGCCTCGCCGTACACAGAGGTCGATATGTCGATTAGCGACTGGAAGATTCGCTTTACGCGGTGCAGCGACGTACGGTAAGCGGTCCAATTTCGAGTCAGAGAACCGAATCTCTTTACTCCGGACTGGACCTCGAGCGATAAAGGAAAGGGGGATTTAGACTCGGAATGTCTCGATTGTGAAAGTATTAACAAAACTTTAAGCACACGACATAGGTGAATACAAGATCTTTATTTTAACCGATTGTGGGCATTTCTACAATGATTATGCTGACTTGGCCCCAATATATACGCTTGTTGGTTTACAATAAAATGAGTGGCGGTGTAAGTCTACATGTGTGTGAATCTGTAGGAGTGTGTGTGTGTGTAATTTAGTCTCCCAGGTTTTAGTGGGGTGAGGAAGGCGGAAAATAGGGTCTTGAAGGGCGAAATCGAATTTTGGACTCATCAGAATTATTGAAAATAATAAAAACAGCGACGAAATGGATAAGATAAAATAAAATGGATGACTTACTTTCGAGATGCGCACTTTGGGTGAAGTAGGTTCGGTCAAATCTCTGTTGCTGAGTGTGGTACCGCTGTGTCGTCGATATGTCGATATAGATTGATCTCCCCCGAATGTGTATACCAGGATTTTTATTTTGCGAATGAATTATACATATATTGAATTGTCGGCGTAAGTAGACAGTTGACTCAAGAATTGGAAACTTAGACGGTCGTAAAACTCGACGGAGAATCAATGAATAATCATGAAAGTGACGGTCAGCCGAAACTCAAAACGAAATCAAAATCGGAAAATTCAGCAAAATTCAATCCGAAGGGTCGCGGGTTGAGTCTTTTATAGGAATCGGCTAAGTTTGGAAATTCGGAGATAACTATTACTGGATTGGTCGGCGATGTCATGCTTGTAGTGAGGATACTCACTGGATTGGAGAAAATTACGGAAAGATTCAGGAACCTTTAGTTAGTATTGCATGATAGGAGATTATTTCGGTGATTCATGAATGTCTCTTGAGATGATATGACTTGAAATTTGAACTTTTCTTGATTGCTCAACTATTTCGAAATTCTGTCGGATGAGCGGTTAATTGTATGTAATATATTTAGAATGAAGGTACGAGTGGGTTACGGGGCGTAACAGTAGATAAGAATTCCGCACTCGGCTTTTTATCTTCTTAACGCCATTTTTTTTCAACATTGTGACATGACAGTCAAATTCGGACGACGGATTCGTGTTCAGCAGACAAAAATACATCGGAAATGACTATTCGTACTGATGTCACGAAAAAAGTTGCCGAACAGATTTTTGCCGAACAGTGTAATTATTTGTTCTTGGTGCAAACAATCACTTTGCATCACACATTTTTTACATTAGTACCACCTTTGTAACAAATATGTGTCATAAATCAACATATTTATATTTTGTGTGAATGTAAGTTTTGTATCGATTTTTTCTTTAATATTATATTAATTACATGAATAATATAATATAATAACACACATATAACATATATACACATATAACATATATATAATACACATTATATATTGTAAACATTATATATTAAATATATGTAATTGTCTATGTGTTATTTTTCTACAATTCATTATATTTCCCACTTATAGTAACATATCAATCTACAGTAGCCATCACTTGGACAGTGTGGCGCCTAGAGCACGATGTTATCACGTCGTTTTCCAACGATTAAAGCGAGACTAACATTTACTATTATATATAGATGAATTTGATACTAAATGCTCTACAATTTTGGTCCTTACAAATTTTGGTCCTTAACTTAAAAATTTTGCGAAGATAACGAGTGGAGGATGGAGAGAGCAGTAAAAAATTTGACATTTAAAACAAATGAAATATGTCGTTGCAAAAAGCATTAAATACTGCAAAACTTTTGTAGGCAACATTTTTTCATATACTTCATATCTTAGGAATTATTCCATAAAAATAAAAAAGTTAATTTTTTTCAAGGGACTGTTTTAACCCCTAAACTTCGAGATAAACCGATATAAAAGATATGGGTCTCTTACTTTTTGATGCTTTACAACATATCCAAAGCGCATCAAAATTGGTAAGGGACAGTTTTATCATGTCCCTTGTTAGAGAAAAGTGTGGCTCATTTTGCAAGCGCGACAGAGACGAAGTCTGCAAGATGGTGAACGATATCCGCGGAGCTCGAGATATCGCTGAAGAATGTTTAATTTTTTAAAAAAGAAAGCCAGTTAAAAAATCTTTTTTTCGTTTTATAAGAGAACTGTTTGAAATAAAATAACGTTGCTTTTGAACAATGTGATATAAAAAGTTAGAACAACCTGCAATAATTTTCAAAACTATAATTTTTTGAAAAAGGAGGTCTAACTTTATACACTCGTTTGACGATAAATTGCATCGCCACTGCCTATCTGATTCATAATAAGGAAACTACTTATTTTTATAATTCGGAAACTAAGTATCAGATAACATTTTGTGAAAGGAAAAATTATTTCAAAATTCTTGTAAAATTATGACATTCTAATAACAGTTGTTAGTATGACCTCATATACATATTGGCAAATTACATTTTTCAGCACTGATGTTAATTGTTTTTTAAACTTCTCTTGTTTATCTTAACAAATAATGAGCAACGGCAAATCTTTTGAAGATTACTCAAGGTCATGATTTCGATAACATAATGTTAAACTCGTTGCAAAGGGTTCTTTTTTTAATTTTACTGCTATTTCTTATTTGATGCTCTTCTAATAAAATTGCGTTTAAACTTAAAGTTTTGATTTTTGTTTTTAAATTGTGAATTATATTTTAAAATACTTTCACATTATGAAAAAAGAGAAATAAAGATTTTAAAAGAAAAATCCTACATGGCATAAGTATGTTATAAGACTGTCATAAGAATTTTTTCATTTTTTTATGATGGCTATTATAATAAATAACGTGTCATATCATAATAATAATCATATCATATCATAATCATATTCAAATCAGCTTTAAGGGGGTATTCTAGTGTAACGGGTCCAAAAAACCGATTTTTTTTTGCATATTTTTATAGTTTAAAGTCTTCAAAATATGGCCCTAAAATATTAAGATGAAATTTGTTAAATTGACCGAGTTATAAAGGTTTAAAAGACGCAGCCTCCATACGGCGTGCCGATCACGAGATAAATGACGAAGTGTTAAGTGTCATCTAACCTATTTACGAAAATTTAACTACCTATGATTTACTACAGCGATGCCTCGGATTATTTACTCAGAATAATAACGAAAGTTTAAATTCATTAATTTGGACAATTGCACCAAAACATCTGCATTGTGAAAAGATGATGGAAGTTGCAACTTTTTTTGGCTGTTTGCCTGTTTAATGAAGGATTTCATACAATTTTAAAAATAATGAACGTAATGAGACTACAAATCGGCCAAAATGCAAAATTCCTCGCGGATAATAGAGACAAACGAGCGTATTAAACGTTTGGAGCAGCGGGCATCGCACGAATCGAAAAAAGCAAGAATTGCCAAGAGACAAGAGGAGGCTGATAAACGTGGATTTTATGAAGTTGAGGAAGGTCTCTTATATGGCCCTGGTATAGCTGATTAAGGGTAAGTTTCTCTAATTACTCATTATCCATCTCATAAGTGCATAAGAACTTTTTTTAAAACGCGATCTTTAAACGCGTTTTTCTCAAAACGACATTTTTCAAATCGGGCGAGTATTTTTTTCGGAAACTACTGGGCCGATCAACTTGCGCTTTTACACACATATAGTGCACATATTCGACTATCGCCCAAACTAAAATCTGTTTGATATCTTTAAAATTACTATTTTTCCAAACCGCGAACAGTTAGAATTTTTTAATAAAAATCAGACTACTATTTTTCAAGCCCCGCCATTTTGTCAATTTTTTTTTTTCAAATTATTTCATTCTAGCTTGGGTGATAGCCACATTCATAAAGAACAAAATAAATGCAAATTCGTTTATTTCAGATGACGGCGGCAATTCGCCCCATGAAAGATAACTTTACAACAAGACTTGTTTCGTCCAATTGTATTTCCTTCAATTTCGAATATAAAGCTTTGCCAAATTTGAGACGTTTCTTCAAAGATGAAGAAATGTCAGTACAAAACATTAACTTTGTAAATTTAACCATTTGTTTTAAATTAATTCCCAAAATCGCCTTGAAAATAGGCCTTCATACTAGAATACCCTCTTAAGGAGTTATTAAAAACAATATTTAATAAAATATACTTTTAAATAAAAGAAAATTTATGTAATATCAATTATTAGTTTGTCCTATAGCCGCTAGTTGACTGGATACTCACTGATTCCTCGCTGGCGCTAGCATGCGCGGCTTGCTCTGCAAGTGCATTTACCACAGCGTTGATCGTTTTTGATTCGCTGCCGAGATCCTCCTCGCGATGAGCCACTAGATTAGGATTCTTCCCGATTTTGTTTAACCTACAAGGAGAGCATGATTAAGCGTAGGGAATGTCGCACGGAACGTAACCAACGATTATTCACGCCAAATTCTAAACCACTTAGCAGCACAGTGATTCGTCCGTTTCGTGGCATTATAGCGCTTGCCGCTTATCATCTGTACTCAACAGTGATTATTATTTGTTCTTCTAACACTACTTGCACTGCTAAAGGTCGTTGAATGAAGTAAAGTGATACAGAAATTAATTATTTTTGGCACATAATCCACAGAATTGTGTTAATTTATTTCGCCACACAAAGCGAAGAATAAGAAAGTAGTGGATATTGATATAATTTGAAATTATTTAAGTAGATTTTTCATCAATAATAAAAACTTTCATGAGAATTAAAAAAAGATGTGAACTATAACAAACGTCTAAGAATTTCACGATTAGACGTGAAGATAACTCTGTGAATATGTGACAAAACAAAAATGATATTTCAAATAATCTGTAAAAAATGTTATGCGCCAAATTATGAAAGTATAACATTACCATGTAATGAATGTGTCGAGAGTGTAAAACCTTTGTCACAATGTTAAACTGTAATCATTAGTTGTTTAGTCATGAAAATTATGTTAGATTTTCGAGTATGCTCCTAGATATCGATATGTATCGGATGTACATATCGTGTATGAGTGTATAATACGAATATAACAAGTTCATCGAATGCCTTTCTGTGCATTATAAGCATTACTAATTTCTCAAACCCTCTCAACTCATTGTAAATATCGCGAGTTAGTGCGCTTTAGTCGTAAATTAGTTCCAAATTCTTCCCAATTCTGTACTGTCTTGCTCCACAAATCGCAAAGGACAGTGTACGACTGTATACTTCCATCTCTTTTGTTTCTTTCAAGACTTCAAGTCCTTTAATGCAACCATACTAAATTATAATACTAAGCAAGAAACTATGTAAATTTATTTTTTATTTATTTGTATGTTTAAATAAATTAGTTTTCTCTTTGTAACTAGAACATTGACACTCTATTCGCGCTCTATTAAAAACAGCATAAATATCTAAAACCCTTTTGAACTCTGTTTTATCAATAAGAACATTTTTAACCGTTTATTACCCTCGTATAAAACAAATGCTCAGTTGAAATTTTATTTTATAATTATATTACAATTAAATTATTTTATTTTATAATTATATTATAATTATGTTATAATTATATTATAATTATGTTATAATTATATTATAATTATGTTATAATTATATTATAATTATATTATAATTATTATATAATTATATAAAAATGGCTTTAAACCTTTTTGACTTTTCATTTACAATTTTTTACATTATATTTGTATGATCGTTTTCTTAATTTCGTTAATATAACTTTTATTTATAGATTCTGGAAATATGTTACGCGCGTTTATAGTAAAAGTAAATACGTGAAATTAATGCGACTCGTATTGTTATTAAACGACTCTCGCGAAATTCTTATGAGGAAAACATTTTCAGTCAGTTTGCTTAAATTTGTGATATATTAAAGTTGTTGAAGCCCTGATAAAAAATCTGAAAGTACAAAACTTTTATATGGCTAGTTTCTATAAATTAAAAATATTTAAAAATCTCTTTCACACACACAAGGTTCCGTTCGTACGTTTGCCTACACAAGTTTACATCTGTGTGCCCATCGTTCGTCATTCCCGTAGTATTTAATGACTCTAAAATTCTTTCAGAGTAAGTGCGTATGTGTGTGTATCAGCAGAAATAAAGATCTCATGGTTCGCCAGTCTCGTAGGGTCTCCTATCTTTGCTGATGCGCGCGCGCACGTACGCACACACACATGCACGTACACACGTACACATATATACATGCATACACGCACACAGACACACACACACACACTCACATAGCAAAGAGGGTTTAAAGTTATTAAATACTACGGGAGCAATGAGAGAGAGAGAGATTCACGAGGTCTTTATCTCTGCTGACGCGCGCACATACATATGCACACATAACAAAGAGGGCTTGCAGTCATTAAATACTACGGGAGTAATGAATCATGGAGATACAAGTGCAAACTAGAAAAACGTATGAACGAATATCTTGCAAAAGTTTTTCAAATGTTTTTAATTTAAAAACTAGCTAAAATAATTCTGCATTTTGAGATTTTTTACTAGCACTACAACAATTATAGTATATCAGAAATTCAAGCGAATTGACTGAAAATTTTTTTCTCATAAAAATAGTGTGAGGTCCATTAAGCTTTATTATGATAGATCGATAATATATATGTATATATCAATGTTTTACTGCATTTAATCGTTTTTACAAAGCTGCATTAATTCAGTAATAATAAAATTTTCATTTAATTAATAACAAGCGCAGCATTTTACTCATACGAGCGTACTAACGTTCATCAGCTAAACGAGGATAACAGAGAGTTAAATGTGCTCATATGCTACTTACACACACACACACACACACACACACACACACACACACACACACACACACACACACACACACACACACACACACACACACACACACACA